TGCTAGTTTTACATGTGTCGGAATAAAAGCAGCCTTCTATTTGTGTCAAGCACACTTATCTTTAAGCATATCACACTCTTAACTGAGGTTGACATGAAGACACAATGAGTCCAAAACTTTTCTAAGTATATAAAAATGGGATTCTTATGGATTTTGTCACTTTCTCACTCAAATTTTATGAATATGCCATTTTTACTAAAAGTTTGTAAATTTGCCTTTTTACAGTTTTATATAATGTGTATTTTTGGGATTTTTTTTGTTAAAGTACATACTTCATCTCAAATACTAAATTCTAAGAAAAAATGAAACCAAGAAAACCCAAACATAATATGTAAAATTGTGTTTTTAGATCTATAAAATTAAAATAGCAAGTCTATAATATTTAACATAAAATGGTAAAAACTATAAATGCTATTCAAAAAAGTCCTTATTGAGTAATTAACTCATATAAATATCCCAGCGATCGCTCTCGTTCTTTTTTTTTAATAACTAAGAGGATCTGAACTGAAACTCATACATCCATCAGGCCCGAGACCAAAACATGTTATATGGTCTCGTCCCAAGCGCTATTCGAATCAGCGACCTTTAGGTTTTTGCCATAAATCTTTACCAATTGAGTTTTTAACACTTGGTGATCGCTCTCATTCTTTCACCAACTTTATAAACAATCTTGTATTTTCTTTTCTTCACCTAGCCAAAAGACAATGTTTTCTGTTTCCAAGTTTGTTTTGTGCAAATGTGACCAAGTTTGTGAAGCATGCATGCAAGGTTATGTGACTTACAATAATGGGGAATTTGAACGTATATGCTAACTCTCATCTCACCACACATATATATATGGTTCACTCACTCTCAATCTTTACAAGAGTAAATCTTATTACATCAATATGATATTATATTTTTTAATGTTTTTTATCACTCTATATAAATTTCTCACTTCATTTTGTAAACCATCTCAAAAATGGCACGTCAATCTTTTTTTCTAGCAAAACATTTAACGACTGGTAGGATCATGACTGTTTTCGTTAAAAACCATTAATGATCTCATTGTATGCACGTTAACACGTACGTCGTGTATAATTTAATTAACAAACATTGCTTTGAAAATTTTCGTTGATAATTTCCGTAACGTGAGACAAAAAAGTCGAGAGAAGCATATATTCAATGACTTATAGTGACAGAAGTGTTTAATCAACTAAACATAAATAAACCCTAGGCAAAAAAAGAATCATAGATATTAAAAAAGGGTACAAAATAATGATTCATATGATCCATTCATGCTGCTGGAGCATAGTCATAGATATCATCATCATCGTTGTCACCGTCTTCTCCATAAATAGAGTGAGCACACTCAAATGCTTGATTGCTTCTAGTGAAGACGCCTCCAATGCACCTTCCACATACATTTTCATCTACGCAGAGAACAAACTCGGTAACAGAAACCATACTTAGCTTCTTTCTTTTTAGTAATGAGAGGAAAAAAGTTTGATGAATCAAAATGTGGTAAGAGCAAATGCAAAACACAAAAAGTTTGATGAATGAATGGGATTATTGTTGGGCTCTTTATAGGTTGGAACCAAAGTTAGTGGAAGAGTTTAGACTCATTCTTGTCATCTACTGACTTCAGCAAGGAGTGTGACATGTTGATATAAGTTCTAGTATGGCACAAGTTCATTGTTGGTAACTTTATGACACATAGGATTTGTGATGACACGTCTGCTATATTCATATATAATCTGTAGATATCTTTATTTGGGGGATTGTGTTTATGAAATAATCTTGTCAGGAAAGGAACAAAAAGGTTTGGCCTTTTCAGATTCTTTATGATCATGGGAATATTATTTTGTAGTGGCGACATAATGGTGCCTAAAGTTAATTTGTCTGTTTTTCTATAATTAGATACAAAAACATTAATTATATATTTGCCACTTTTCTTAATTGTATTTATGGATATGATCATGCTGCCAAAACCTTTATAGATTTGTCATTTTTACAATATAAAAATACTAGTATTTAATTATCATGTATTCATGTGTTTTACCCATTATATTGAATTTAAGTTTAGTCGATTTCATTTGTTCTTAGAATATTATTAGTTGTTCTAAAATATATATATTAGCAAAGAAAAAAAGATGTGTATATTTTGAAGTGTTTAAAAATGACAAATCCATAAGATTTTGAGTAAAATGGCATATTGTAAAATTTGAGGAAAATGGAAAAAAATTGTAATAAAATCCTAACAAAATTCTATGTGATATACCGAGATTTATTTAGTTTTAATAAATGAATCTATTGAAGTTAAGGGAATGTGCTTCAACATGAGTAGATCTAAATTCTAATACAAAGAAATTCTTAGAACGTACGTATACATTGGACTTTGACTAAACCAAAAAGCTTAAAGGACGTTGACATTGTTCTACTTCATAGGCACATGTTGTAATGTTGTTCATTTGGATTCCTTTGACTCTTAGGATGAAAATGATATTTTATGATCTTGTAATATAAGTTTCGTGAGAGGTCATGTCGTCAAATTAAATTACTATATTCTTTTCTTCAAATTATTTCGTCCATGTCAAGCGTACGTGAGTAAGTGACGTTAGTCATATTTTAGCTTTGCTCTTTGTCTTTGGTCACCAAGAAATGTAAGTGAAAAGTTGGGTGGATAAAGATATTAAAGGTGACATGTTTGATTGTATTTCCATTAGGAGCAAATAATACTTTATCTAGTTATATGAATATGATAAAACGAATCTTTCGAGTTTGAATTTTTTAAAATGGATGTAATGGAAATTGTTGTTCATAAACGTTTTAAAGGTTGAGCTAGATCATGACTTGATTTTTTTTCAATTACTTCGCTCTTTAATGTAATATTTAATGTAAACATAAAGAAACCCTGGCAAAAAAATAATAATCATAAATATAATAAAAGGTACAAAATCATGGTTTTCATAACTTCATATGATCCATTCATGCTGCTGGAGCATAGTCATAGATATCGTCATCATCTTTGTCACTGTCTTCTACATAAACACAGTGAGCACACTCAAATGCTTGATCACTTCTAATGACGACACCTCTAATACACGTTCCACATACATTTTCATATATGCAGTGAACAAACTTGGTTACAGAAACCATACTTCTTTCTTTTTAGTAATGGGGAAAAAGAGAAATTATAAAGCTAATGTGGTAAGAGCAAACGGAAAACACAAAATTTTGATGAATGAATGAGATTATTGTTGAGCTCTTCATAGGTTGGAACAAAATTTAGTGGAGAGGTTTATAACTCACTCGTGTCTTCTACTGAGCTCAGCAAGGAGTGTGACCTGTTAATATAAGTTCTAGTATGGCACAAGTTCATTGACACATAGGATCTGTGATGACATGTTTGCTATATACATAAATTTTACAGTTCTTCTTTCTTTATTTGGGGGATTATGTTTATGAAATATTCTTGTCAGAAAAGAAACAAAAAGGTTTAGCCTTTTTAGATTCTATATGATCATGGGAATATTAGTTTTTAGTGGCTCATAATGGTTCCAAAAGCTAATTCGTCTGTGTTTTATAATTATTAGACTACGTAAAAATTCATATGTTATTTACTTTTAAATGAATCTGTTGAATTTTAAGGGTATGAGCTTCAACATGAATGGATCTAAATTCTAATACAAAGATATCTTTAGAAACCAGGTTCCCAATAAATTGAATTATACTACATATAACCAAAGAAATGACAATTTGGCATGAAAAATTCGTACCAAATTACATTATATGACTTATGTAAATTTATCCCGAGATCCCGAGAAGAATTATTTTGGACGTCTATCCGGAGATGATTCTTTAAATAGCAAGTGCACTCTGGTGACATAGATAGCCAAACCAATTCTTTAGACCTCTCTACACACAACATCATATTCCTAATATTGGGGTGTTATATTTTTAATTTTTAATTTTCAGTTTTTATATAATTGTTATCATTACAATTGTATTAATAAATGTAGTAAAATCAAAAATTTTAATATAAATGTAGTATAATTAAATTTTAATTTTTAATTTATAATATTTAATTTTGAAATTTTATTTTTAATTTAAAATTTAAATTTTATATGAAATCATTTCATAGTGCATTATTTTTTTTGGAAAAAATAAATCACAGTTTTAAATCAACGTCATTTTCGTTGTATGATAGGACACAACCACAGGGATGTTTTATTCCTCACGCACTGTTCAGACTTGGTAAAAATTGTGTCTTCTCCAACCGAATGGCCAGCCTTTTCTATATATTTGGAGGATATTATCGCCGATAGAGAAGAATTTTCAACTTTCTATATCTCTCTTATTCCTCGTAACTTGAATGTGAAGGCGGATTCTTTGGCGCGAAATGTTCGCACCATGCCGTCTTTTGTTAAGTTTGTAAACAAGTGTCCTCTACATTGGCTCGTCTGAGCTGATTTTGTTCTTTTGATGACAAAAAAAAAAAAATCAACGTTATTTTGTCATACATAATTCCACATCACTATCACTTTCTAAGTCATCTAACACGTGTCAACTGAGTCAGCATCTCACTATGACATATGGCGTATGAGTCAACAACCGTTAATGTGGAGTTTGAAATTGACATTATTTGTACATGAAATTTGAATTTTGTTTGATTTGTGTTTAAATTCACGCTGCATCTTTTTATAGGTAGAAAATTAGTACTTTTGAACTTGTACAGGTATGAAATGGTCTTTTTTTCCTCCAGATGACCTATGCGAGTATACTGAAGTTTTTAGTCAAACCAAAAAAAAAGTTATTTGCATTTTATAAAAATAAAATTCATAAGAAATAACAACCAAGTAAAAGTGTGCCCAAGCAACCCCAAATTACGATAATTATATATACAGTATTACTAACGATTAACGAATAGAATAAATTATCCTATACTTTAAATTCAGCATTTGTAGCTTGGACTAAAAATAAGTGAACGTTGTGTGGATTAGTAAAGTGAATACTATGGATACAAAATAAAAGTTGAAGAAACTTACAATGTTATTTAATTAATTTAACTTCAAAAATTAATAGACAAAAACAGTGAGTGTGGTTAAGAGAATCATGTTTGTTCACACTATCTAGTACATGCATGGTCTAGCTAAATATCTAAATTTCATTGTCATCTCTCTCCCTCTTTTTCCTCCTAAGTTACATTTATATACTAGTAGGAGATAAATCACGCAGCAGGAGCATAATCGTAGCCACTATCGTCGTCATCACCACCATTCTCACCATATGCCGCTTGAGAACTATCCACCAAATCTTCAACATACACCGCGGAAGCATGGTCCAAACTCTTGATTAGCAAGTTTGCGACGAAAGACATCATTTGGTTATGAAAGTAAAGAGATCAAACCAATGAATAGGTCTAAAGTGAAAGCCACAAAGAAGTGTGATGAGCTTGAAATGTTGTTGTGAGTTTGGTGAATATAATAAGAGAGACTAATGAGGCTTTTATAGGAGAAAGCTAAAGGTAGAATAAGTAGTGAACGCACTCTTTGGTAAGGGAAGCCTTGTGGAGTTTGAGAATTGCTCATGTTGTTGTGTGCTTGACACAATAGGTATTACATTTTTGCTTACACGTAGGATTTCTATTGTGACACATCAGACGATATAAGGTAACACAATGGTCCATTTATATTCCTTCCTAGTAACACATGTAAAGCATTTTCCTTTTTCAATAGTATTATAAAGACTCGAGTGGCAACAAAAGGAGTCTTGGAACTTTAATATAAGATTCTAGTGGCAAACATTGGTCACTTCTAAATAAAACATTTTTCGGAAAATGTAATCATAGCGATAGCTTGACCAGAAAAGGATAATGAGGTCGTAATCTAAGAGGCCACAGGATCGAGTAAACAGTTATTTTGATGTACCAAATAAAAATGCCAAACTAAGCAAATCTGAAACGAAAGGATTTATTTGCCTATGTTGGGCGAATAATATATATATGAAAAGAAAAAAGTATGAACTCAATCTTATATTAGTTCACCTTGAGCTCAGTAAAGAGTGTGGTACACTTGTGCTTGGCACACATAACAAATAGATTTTTTGCAATACTCTAATTGCCTACGAAGTTTCCTACGAGAATACAGTTTGTAAGATTTTTTGTAGGAAATTTTCTACGATTTTCTTACTGAGGACAATTGTTTTTCGTAAACAATTGGTAAGAATTTGGTAGGAAATTTCGTAGTAATTTCGTAGTAAATCATGTTGTTTTCTGCTTACGAGTTACGACACATATTGGACGAAATCAGGATTGGTCCAGCCGTCCAGTATATTTGTAAAGCAGCGTCGCAATTCAATATGTATAACGAAACGAAAGAAATCAATACGTTTCACTTTTATATATATTACTCTCTCTTTAGTATCTTTGACTCTTTGTATACTTGACCATGCATTTGTAGATATTTAGGGTTCTATAAATCTAAAAACCATATGACGTTTTTTTTTTTTTTTTTTGGTAAAAGCCATATGACGTTTATGAAATTAATTTATACAATATGTATCACTTGCAGTCTTGCACCATAATAGTAACAAATCATGAAACTGAAGATATATATTAGCTCTGATATATTTGGAGGCTATAAATTACATCACGGATTTATTAGAATAGTAAAATTTATTTTAGGGCATTAAAAAATGTGTATAGTCCAACAAATAAGATCAATATATCTTATTTGGTACATGCAGCATTGCAGCCTCTAATACTAACACCAATTAATTTGTCTCCCAGAATATATATATATGCTTAAAATATTGGCTTAGTCATCCAAAACCTATATATTTTTATGGATTGAAGAATTGTAGAGTAACAGTCGAGAGACTATTCGAGATGAAGTAAAACTTCAGCCAAGTCTCTCACTTTGCATACGCGATGAACATTGGAGTCCGATTTTATCACATTGTACAAAATCAACATCTAAGCCTCTGGATAGATTGGTAGATAAGATGAACTTAATATTGATTATAGAAATTAATGGACCAATATATACAAATTGGTAAACTAAATATACATGTATGGATACACTTTAGTATACTTTTGAATGGTTAGAAAGTTTCACATCTTAAACAATAAACCAGTTGGTAATTAACCTTTTGATCCAGAAAAGAATCGTGGATGAAGATTTTAATCTTGCGCTGATGACGATAGTATAAGTATTTAACCAAAAAACACGAAATCTATGTAGTGTTTAATCCAATATAACTTTTTTTTTTATCAAACTACAAACGTTATTTAGTAAAATAAACGTTACCCTAACATCCATACTTAAGAGACAAAAACTGATTGTGGTTAAGGAAGAGATGATTTTGCTACTACAGTTAAGGAAGAGATGTTTGATCATCTGTAAGAAGACGCACAACACTATACATACACAACCTAGCTAGATATCTAACTTACCTTATCATATCTGTCTCTCTTTTTTTTTTTCCTGCTAAATTACATTCATATACTAGTAGGACACAATTACGCAGCGGGAGCATAATCATAGCCACTGTCATCGTCATCACCACCATTCTCAACATAAGCTGCTCGAGAACTATCCACCACATCTTCAACACATACCGTAGAAGCACGGTCAAAGCTCTTGATGACCAAGTTTGCAACGAAAGACATCATTGTTCCTCTTCTCTTGGTTTTGGTTATATCTATGAAAGAGGATTATAGAGAGATGTACAGAACTACAAAAGGGTGCTGAGCTTGAAATGTTGTTGTGAGTTTGGTGAATATAATAAGAGACACTAATGAGGCTTTTATAAGTGAAAGTTAAAGGTAAAGCAAGTGGTGAACACACTTTGTGGTCAGGACTGCTTCTGTGGAGTTTGAGAATTGCTCATGTTGTTGTGTGTTTGGCACAAATAGATATTACATTTGTTCTCACACGTAGGATTTTCTCATGACACATCAGATGTTAAGTTAAGTCATTGGTCGTCTAGTTATGTTCCATTCTAGTAACACATGTAAAGCGTTTTTCCTTTTTCACTAATATTCTTTCTCAAGCACAACAAAAACAAATAAAAATAAAAATAACAAAAGAGCTTTAAATAAGATTCTAGCTGCAACATTGGTCACTTCTAACTGAAATTTGAGGAAATGAGTTTTAATTTTCTTACAAGATTATGAATAAACTATACATATTACCTTTTGTCGACAAATATGTTCACTAAGTATAAGTTTTTGTCATGTGACTTGGAAATGCTTGTTCATAAATTATGAGAGGCATAATTCATTTATAACACTTTTGTGTTTCTACTATCATCAGTCCATCATCGACACCAGTGATAATGATAATATGAATTCGATAAAGGTCTTATATACGTGTATACGTTAGGCGTGGACAAAAAATTCGTTAAATTCGATTCGATTCGCTATTTGCTTTGATTCGATTCGAAAAATTATAATATCCGTCAAAATTTTGAAGCAAGGCAAATTGGAAAATTTACTAGTCGTAAAAACCGAAACAAATTTCTGAATATTCGCTTCGTGCCCAGGCCTAGTATTCATTTCATCCAAACAAAAAAAACCATGTGAAGAAAAATAGATATTTGAGGCCATTTTATTTGCTCTCATGCTGCTGGAGCATAATCATTGATATCGTCATCTATCATGGTCACCGTTTTCAACATGTCATCAGTTCATCCTCAGGTCAACCTCACTAAAGAGTGTGATGTGCTTACTACACATTGGACCAAAACATAATGTGGCTCAGTATGTACTTGTAAAGCAGCATCACATTCAGTAATAACACAAAAGGAAAAAAATTCGAGACCTCTTTATCAAGACCGTTGAAGGGAATAAAAAAGCTTCGAATGTAAGGGAAATAATGCAAAACATAATATTTTAGGGCATTCTCTTTGGTTACTTGTGTACAACGTGTCTACAAAATAGTGATTCCTGTCAAGATTTGATATGAGATTAATCAGATATTTAATTTAGTGATTATGAAAGGTTTAATTAAGTGAGACTTAAAGTTTAAACAAACAAACTTGAGATAATAATTTTAAAAAAAACTAATGAGAAAGTAAATCTAATAATGGAAATTTTTTTATCATCATTAGTATAAGAACAAAACCAAACGATCAAAATAATATATTTTATGAACTAATAATGCTAGCTAGGACTATGTAAATTTATATAACTTCTAATTTATCAATATATTAAATAACGAAAAAACAAATTTGAGACCAAATAAATATATATTAATTTATCACAGTATTAATTTCGTCTTTAATCCTCTAATACTGAAACTATCGAACAAGATATATGAGTCAATTTTTGTATTACTTTATCAGTTAATTTAGATGGAATCAAATGCTTTTCTTTATTCACTTTATATGTTTACTCCATTAATTCCAGCATTTGCTTATAAGAAAAATAAATTTGTTCTGGTTTATCCAAATACGGATTTAAATTAAACAGTAATTAGTCAGTTTAGTGCGGCCTCTGATTCGGGTACAATACATAATTTGCCTCCCATAATTTGCTTGATAAGAAAATGTTTGCTTAAGCAATAAAGAAAATTAAAAGCCTATATAATTATCTACAACTTTTAAAATGTTGGATTACACTTTTGATTCGGCTTAAAAATTGAATGTTGGGTGAATATATACTAAACCACAACACAAAATCAATGAGAAATCACCAACACAAGTAAAAATGTTATTTAGTATAATGAACTTGAATAAATTTTCAAACTTAAGAGACAAAAAAGTGACTTTGATTAAGGATTTTATGGGGCGATAAACACAAAAAGGGTTAAAGAAGAGATGGGTTTGCACCACCTTCAAGGATATGTACATACATGGCCTAGCTAGATAAACTTATCACCATATCATCTCTCTTTCTCTCTCTTTTTTTTCCTAACTTACATTTATATACTTAAAGGAGACACTCACGCAGCAGGAGCATAATCAAAGCCACTGTCATCGTCATCACCACCATTCTCAACATTAGCTACTCGAGAACTATCCACCAAATCTTCAACACATACCATTGAAGCACAGTCAAAGCTCTTGATGACCAAGTTTGCAACAAAAGACATCCTTGTTTGTTTCGTTTTTCTTGGTTTTTGTTATGAAAGAAGGTTGTAGAGAGATGGACAGAGCTAGCTACAGAAGTGTAATGAGCTCTTAAATGTTGTTTAGGAGTTTGGTGAATACAATTAGAGAGACTAATAAGGCTTTTTATAAGTGGAAGTGAAAGGTATAGTAGTCAAGACTTTCTTTGTGAAGTTTGTGAATTGCTCATGTTGATGTGTGTTTGGCACAATAGATACTACCATTTTTTCTCACACGTAGGATTATCTCATGACACATCAGACGTTAAGGCAACTCATCGGTCCATTTATATTCCTTTTTAGTAGCACATGTAAAGCATTTTCCTTTTTCACTAATATTCTTCCCCACACTCACTACCAAAACAAAATATATATATACTAATCTTATACTTAATATGTATGTTATGTAATTAGTTGGTTGAAATAAAACTCCATTTCCAAATTTTTTGGACCAATAAGATAGACAGACGACTAAACTGAACGTTGATCGATCTAATTATACATCAACTATATCGAATGTTAAGTGTATATGTAGAGCTAATGAAAATGTAAATATTTGGATTTTCCAAGCTTTTTTATTTGTTTAGTTATCGTTGTATTTTATTGCTTATGATTATTATTTATCAATTACATGATGTATAAACTTAGTTTTAAAATGTACGATGAGGCGTATGTTATATATTAAAATGTTATTGATAATATCTCATGTATCAAATCTCTTAAACAAAAACTTGTAGATATAAATCATACTATAATAATAGTACATAATTCTTAACTGTGTTTCAAGATTCCTTAATTTTATTTTTAAAATACATGATTTTTTTCAATATTGAAACACAAATATAAATTAAGAAACTTGGCCGTTTCATCAATCAGTGAATAACACATGAAATAAATTCCCAAGTCACATGTTATTTTCTTATAAGTAGGAAATAAATGTTCATAAAATTAAAAAAAAAAATTAAAAATGTTTATGAGAAGCATAATATATTCTTCTATAACACTTGTTCTGTTATCACTTATCACCGATGCCAAAGAAAAATATATTATGAACATTATAACATGTGAAATATATAGAAAATAGATTGAGAGAACTCATTTTGATCAACAATATAAATCATAAGTACACAAAATCATCATAAGAGATACAAAAATTATGAATTGTATATATAAAACTGATCCAAACCAATAATCTAACGCAGTAACGCAGATGATGCACTCATGCTGCTGGAGCATAATCATAGATAACATCGTCATCCTGGTCACCATTTTCCCCAACATAGCCATATTTGCAGAAATCAAATTCGGATGAAGAACACATGTTTGCTTCAATGGTTAATGAACAATTTTTTTTTTAGCATTTGATGAAAGAATGAGAGATCTTTGGGATCAATCTATATATGAGAAAGCAAGAGTTGACAAAAGAGTGTGAACTCAATCTATCTTCAGTTCACCGGCCCTTAGGTCAATCTCACTATAGAGTGTGATGTGGTTACTTCACATTGGACGAAATCATAATGTGGCCAAGTACTTGTAGAGTCAGCATCACGTTCAATAATAACATAAGGAAATAATTCGAGATCGTTGAAGGGAATAATGCTTTCCATGTTATTACGTAAAGCAAAAAATGTAGGAAAAATCATATTTAGGGAATTGTCAGCTCTTTGGTACATTGGTACGACGTGTCAACGAAATAGTGAATCATGTCAAGATTTGAGATATCGGAATAATCAAATATTTAGTGATTATGATTTGATGAAAGTGAGAGTTGTAGTTGTATACTTGTATACATGTCAAGAAAAATATCTATTAAAAACAAATAACAAAAAGAAGACTTATAATAATAATAAAAAATATAATGGACAACGTTATCAACATTAGTATATGAAATAAAATCAATCAAACATTCAAATTAATATACAGTTCTTTTTTTTGTAGAAGAAAATTTGTCTGAATTATTCAAAAAGATACATGAGTCAATATATGCTCTAAAATCGGTAAAGAGTAAAACAAACTCAGAAAACAATTAATACAACTTATTAAATTAATACTAGGTCTACCCTAGTTTTAGAAAAAGTAATTCAGGTATTATTTGATTATAAACCATAAAACCGTATAATATCCTTTTGTAAGATCTTAACATCTTATGCCACTAATTATAATCGTGGTACACATTTCCTTGTACTAGGTAAAGCTTTACGTCAATCTTGTAATGACGATCATATACGCAAGTACAGTCGTAGGTAAGCTTATTAATGTATAGTAATAGAAGTTCAATTCCAAGCTGCCTCTATATAACATGTGAAGAGAACCTAATGGTAGGCACCAAATATAACCTCGGACCATCATCCTATGTAAAATACTATCCTTAGCTTTGTTTAGTTTGGCTACCACAGCTTGCATATAAGATGGAGAAAACTTAGAGACAAGATCGAAATCTCAATGGATATGCTGTTAATAGAGTTGTCATTGTTGTTATTATAAGAGCTAAAAACCCATGATTCATTGAAAAGTGTTTATATATACTAGGTAAGAAAACATGGTCTATTGTATGGATTTTATCAATTAATTATAAAAGTGTTTTCCATTAGAACAACTTAGTAATTTAATTAAAATAGGAGTATTGTACATAAGAATTAAAGAAATACAATATTATACTTCTTTAATAGCTTTGACTATTTCGACTACTTATAAATCACCCATTAGTTGATGTACATAAATCTAACATAGTCTATAAAAATATGTATCACTTGCAAAATTGCAATAAACACAAACTACCAAATTTTTCGTAGGAAATTTTGTAATAAACCATGATGGTTTCTTGTATATAATTCAGATCGTGGAGGAAACATAAAAACATTTTTACAAGATTTTTTCAGCATTTGCTTATGCTCACAACGAAATTTTGTTCTGACTTTTCAGAATTGTGATCTTTGTGGACTAACATAGATTCTTATGATGTATTTATGAAGTATATTTTAACTAAGCCAAAGATCAGAGAATTTGGTGAACCAAAGAAGATAATTATCTAACATATAATTAGAAAATTGGTTTAAGTAAATACATGTGAAGTTAGCTTCCTTTCCATCTAAATTTCAATTGCAAAAAACTTCACATCTTGAAAAATTAACATGTTGGATTACACTTTATATTCGGCTTTCTTCGATTTCAAAATTGAATGTTGTATGAATGAATTAAGTGAATATATGAAACCACAACAAAAAAATCCGAAGAGAAAACACCAACACAAGTAAAAAAAGTTCAGGAAACTAAAAAATGTTATTTAGTATAATGAACGTTAGATTAATTTCCATACTTATGAGACAAAAAAAAAGTGATGTTAGTTAAAGGAAGAGATACATGGGAGGCTTAAGGAAGAGATGAATTTGCTACCACCGTCAAGGGTATGTATGTTCATTTATAAGAAGACTCATCACACCACACTATCTAGTACATAACATTCATGACCTAACTAGCTAGATATATATCTAAATCAATCACCTTATCATCTCTTTTTCTCCTAAATTACATTTATATACTAGTAGGAGACAATCACGCAGCAGGAGCATAATCATAGCCACTGTCATCGTCATCACCACCATTCTCAACATAAGCTGCACGAGAACTATCCACCACATCTTCAACACATACCATTGAACCACAGTCAAAGCTCTTGATGACCAAGTTTGCGACGAAAGACATCATTGTTCTTTGTTTTTTTTTTTTGATATATGAAGAAGCCTATAGTTGCAAGAAGTGTGAGATGAGCTTAAAATGTTGTTGTGAGTTTGGTGAATATAATAAGAGAGACTAGTGAGGCTTTTATAGGTGAAAGCTAAAGGTAGAATAAGTGGGGAACGCACTCTTTTGTCAAGACAGCCTTGTGGAGTTTGTGAATTGCTCATGTTGTTGTGTGTTTGGCACAATAGATACTACATTTTTTTATCACACGTAGGATTTTCTCATGACACATCAGATGTTAAGCTAACTCATCGGTCCATTTATATTATTTTCTAGTTACACATGTAAAGCATTCTCCTTTAACACTAATATTCTTCCTCAAGACCAACAAAAAGAGTGTTTTGGAGCTTTAACATAAGATTCTAGTGGCCACTTCTAATTAAAATTTGGGGATATGATTTCTATCTTTAATCTAAAAAAATCATCTTGGCCATATCTATCTACACAACTTTTATAGTTTGCTCATCAGTCACCTTCTGTACCAAAGCCTCCCCATCATACTCTATTGTGTTAATTGGGAAGATGTGTGTGTGTGTTGTTAACCTTTTTTCTCATAGTTATTGAATTGTACATAGCTTGTAAATCTTGTCTTTGAGTAGGTATAGATAGATTTGGTATTGGTAAGTATCTACATTCAGTGCCGTGCCAATGACTGAATGCGCGCGAATCTCCATACTATTTATGTTTGAATTGGACTCGATCTATCTACTCTGTCTCAAAGATTCAAAACAGTGGCGCTATTGTCATTCCAAGAACTAATCAAAAGCCATGGTGATGATAATGCTCATAGGTACTTGAGATTTAAACCGAGAATATCTAAGGTTACCTGACGCACTTCTACCGTAATGCTTACCAAATATAAACTTGGTAACGAAAACGCTTCTGAAAACGAGCCAGATATAAAGATGGAACGCGAAAAAGTATTCCTTCCTCCAACTCCGGTAAAAGCTTCTCTTGCTGTCTTGCACCATTTAGGTTTTTGAACCCTAAATTAGTTATTATCTAAAGTTAACTTGTTTCAGAAGAAAAGCTTTTGTTATTTCTATATAAGTTATTTAGAACACGTAAGAACATGGTGCATGTTTCTTCATGTTTTTTCATGTTGAACCATACAGTTTCTCAAATTGGTAACACATGCTAACATGTGGAACAGAACATATGAAAGATACTTGTGTTGCAAGATCTAATCAAAACAATTTTAGTACTATCGCAAAAGCTAATATATTCTTCCAAAGAATTAATATTATTATGTCCAAAGAACCAAAACTAGAAAACAGAGAAGATAGTTGTTAATAAAATACCAAAATCCAAATCAATTTAAGCATCTTCAAAAACCATAAAAACAAGACAAGACTAATGAAATCAAACTTGTAATGCGCCTGCTTCTTCTCTTTGACCTCGAGGAACTGAGACCAAACTTGGGAAATAAGCACAATGCAAAGGCCATAGATCAACCATAGGATCTATTTGAGTTTTAGTGATCAACTTCTTGTCCCCCATAACATAGATCCAAGCTTGACCAGTTCCATCGCAAGAACACACAACGAGCTTTTTACCGTCGATGAAGTAGCTTGGCCTTAGTAAATCCGGCAAGTTAGGAGTTGACACTTCCATAAAATTCATCCATTCACCATCCCCACCGCGCCAGTTTCTAGTAACCACATTCTTGGTCACCCAAATCTCAATCTTCTTTGTTAAATGGCATTGCTTTAACAGCGAAAACCGATCCCCCTTATAAAGACTAAGAACAAGAATATCGCGGTTGTCCCTATATGGAACTGGTAGATCAGAGAGCTTGTCGAATTTTTCCACTGAAAAATTGAAGGAAAGTAGGAACATTGAGGAATCATTCATTTGATAAGAAGCAACCCAATACAACGTTCCATTCAGCGATACACTTGTGGATTGCAAATAAACACTTTTTTCTGCCTCACTACTACCAACAGCTTTCAACATTGAGTCTTTCACCTCATTGGAGGCAAAGTCATGGATTTGCCAAACCTTATTGGTAAGTTCTGGATCCTTGTAACAACACAAAAGTGTCTTGTAACCATTCTCCAAAAGACTCCCGTTACCATACTCATAACCTATGCCATTACAAGTCACACGTTGGTTAGCCTTTACAAGCTCGATCCATCTAGTCTGTCTTAACCACGGGTTCAAAAGCACAACTCCTTTATAATCCATGCCACATCCCAAGAACCCATTGCACTCGAAAAAAGTTTTAGGTATATATGATTCGAAACCGGGAATATCTAAAGTTAGCTCACGCACTTGTATCTTTGGAGTGATGCTTACCGAGTAGAACTTGGATTTGGTTGCTAAGATGAATCTAAAGGTCGTCTTGTGGTTGTTGATGAATGTCTTATCGTCGATGAGTGTGTTCCATTGCTTAGAAACTGCTCTGAAGCGAACAAGAGATTTAGGAGGGACACGAGAGAGCGTCTCTTCAATCAAATCATACGGAAGCGTATCCTCATGAGCCATTCTCTCTTCTTTTATTTTTCTGTGAATTAATAATCTCTCTACACCTTGGCTACTGTTTAAATATAGAGAACACTCCTAATCCTATTTGTATTTACATATCTCCTAAATACTAACCATAACTCGGTTAGGATTAGATAACTTAGTTATCTTCAATATTTTCGGGTCGAGTTTAAGGCTTTTAATTAAGAGAATTTTATTATTTTGGTCCAAGTACTCATGAACTCAGCTTTTGGTTTTGTAATTTTCTTAAGTGACAGCGCTCCTTTTTATCAAAGTAAAATTAAGATTTTTATTATTTATTTGAAAAGTTTTAGAAATTTGTTTTGGAGATTTTACTAATAAGTTTTGTTAAAACCCTAATAAGCAAAACGTTATATATATATAGATAAAATAGTCAATCTATGTGAAATTAAAATTAAGATTATGACCTTTAAGAGATTTGAGTAAGTTTCAAAGGCTAATATATAAAAGAAGTTGTTTGTCCTAAGCTTATGATGTTACTTTTAAGATTAGGTATGTAATAGACATCGGCTAGAATCTTGCGTTCTCCTCCTTTGGTTACAAATAAAATCGACCCTTTCCCTTTGATGTCAATACGAGAATCATCACCAAATCGTATTTATGTCTTGAATATGGATATAAATACATAAATTAAAAATAACCTAAATATTGACTGTTGTGTTAACAAGCGTGGTAGTCTATTAGCCCTGTTAACGGAACACATATTCGACTCTTTTTGAGATATCCGTATCCTTATTATCCGTGGCTTTAGAAATCATATTCGCTAATATGTAAAAAAAACTGAAATATATGATATTTAAATCAAAATACCGTATTTGTATATAAATACTATATTTCCGTATATAAATACTGGATATGCATATTTAAATACCGGATATCCGTATTTAAAATACAAAATATACCGATTTAGAGTTTTATAATATCTGTATCCATAAACCATCATTTAACCATCCGTATCCATATCTTTTTTTCACATAAAATACAGATACATATAAAAATACCTGCAAATACAATTTTTTAATCTTAAAGCTGTAGGTTACATATATCTTTATATTTGCTCCTCCATTAACCAGCAAAGTAGTCTACATATATGGGTTGAGTTTTTGTGTTTATAATCCGAAATTTGGAAAGGTTAATTTCACATGTAACGTGTATTAACACGTAAGATAGTAATTTAAAGAAGACAAAAACTTGATACTTTACCAATACCTTTTTCATATATTTTTTTCTTTCTTCTTACTTGACCAATGCTTAAAATAGTTTTAAAAAGAACTCACACATTAATGTGAAATTAGTCTACGTTTAATATTTGATCTATATAATAAACCATAACATAAAAATAGAATTTAACATTTCAAGATCCAATTCTTTTTTAGTACTACTAAATTAGTTTTCTTAAAATTTGTCTACGTATATATATATGGGTTGAATTTTGTGTGTGTGTGTGTGAGTTCATAAATCCGAGATTGATGGGGTTAAGCCAGGTCGACCACGTGACAACTGAAAACGACAGCGTTTCAATCAGCGCCGAATAAAAACACATAACGGTGCTTATTGCTGCGAGAACGGCGGAAGATTTTATTTATTTATTTATTAATTAAAAAAGAAAAAAAAAAAAAAAGAAGACAGAGAAGAAAGAAGAGACCTCACCTTCCTCTCTTTGCGCGTTTTCTCTAATCTCTCTCTCTTCTCTTCTCTCTCTCTCTCTCTTACGGCTGTTGAAACCATGGCATTTCTCCACTTCGCCGGGATCCGTGATTCTCGATCGGAGGATGTATCGTCTTCTTCTTCTTCGTCTTCTTCTCTCTTCGCGTAATCTCCATTCTCCGTTCTCCAAATCGCTGTCTAATTGCAATAAAATCCAAATCGTAATCTCCTCCTCCTTCTTCTTCTTCTTCCACCATTGTTATCGGTTCTTCATACGATGTGATCGTATTCGAGATTCTTAGATTCTTCTGAGTTTTATCGCTTCTTTTGATATAAAACAACAATACGCGGTTTCTCATTTCCAGATCATTCGTTTGCGTTTGATTTTTTTTTTTTTTTCTTGCTCATCTGGATTCAACCGCAAACGAACAAATTCGTGGACGCATTTTGATTCTGTGTTTGTTCTGTTTTTTTTTTGTTGAAGATCTAATTTGATGTTTTCGATAGTTTTTTTGAGTTTTGATCCAACAATGTAGATCGGAATTTTAGAAGCATATGTTGAATCTGTAGCTTTTTAATTCGACTAACTTGGAAACCAAGTTTTAGATCGTTCTCATGAATTGTTAACAGAGTATTTTAAGATGTTGTGACTTGTGATTGATTATTGAATTTTTTTTTTTTTTTCCTTTGGTGTGTGTATCAGGTTCTTGTATGATGAGAAACTGGTGAAGAACTAGAGGAAGCTTAGAGGAAGTTTTGTTAGTCTTGGTTTCGGATATTTGTGTTTTTGTTAAGCTTAGTTGGGAACGATGTCAACTAAGGGAGAACATCATACAGTTCCGCTTTCTGTGTTGCTTAAGCGTGAATCAGCTAATGAAAAGATAGACAATCCTGAACTTATACACGGGGAGGCGAATCAGAGCAAGAAAGGAGAGGATTTTACGTTTGTTAAGACAGAGTGCCAACGGGTTATGGGAGATGGTGTTACTACCTTCTCGGTTTTTGGGGTATATTTTCTTGCTTCCCTCTCTTTATATGCACTTGCCATCGTATGGATTTTTGAGAATGAGAATAGATGTTGGCTAGTTTTATTAGTATGGCAATTGAGCCATTATAGTCGTCTTGTGTTCAAGCAACTGCAATGCGTGGCATGATCAAAAATGTTGTAATGGATTGTACAGTTATTGAGGAATGACACACATTTCTCTATCTATATGCATATATTGTAGATGATTATATTGACATGTCGTTTTAGTTTTAGTTGTCTTTTTTGGTGTTGATATGTCTAGTTAAACATTGAATCGTATATTTGCAGCTTTTTGATGGACACAATGGTTCTGCAGCAGCTATCTACACTAAGGAGAATCTCTTGAACAATGTATTAGCTGCAATACCCTCTGATCTTAACAGAGATGAGTGGGTTGCAGCACTTCCTAGGGCTTTGGTTGCAGGATTTGTTAAAACTGATAAAGATTTCCAGGAAAGAGGTATGAACTTATTTTGTAACTGAAAAAATTGGATTTTCAATGAAAAAACCTTGTAATGTGATTCATGTCCCAAAATGTGAACCTGTCAGTGTCTTTATAGTCCTATATTATTCTGGTGAAGGCTTTGTTTGAGTTTTTACTATTTTCGTGCATTTCAGCAAGGACTTCTGGAACAACTGTAACTTTTGTCATAGTAGAAGGATGGGTGGTGAGTGTTGCATCTGTTGGTGATTCTCGTTGCATACTTGAGCCTGCTGAGGGCGGTGTATATTATTTGTCTGCTGATCATCGGCTTGAAATAAACGAAGAAGAGTAAGTCAGCTTTGTACCTGCTATTCACCCAACTGATGGATAATCTTGATTTTCTTTACAGTATTTTGGTTCTTTATCAGGCGAGATCGAGTCACTGCAAGTGGTGGTGAAGTTGGTCGGTTAAATACTGGTGGTGGTACTGAGGTAATTTTTAGATAATACTTGACTCTTTCTTCTGTGTGAATAAAGTCTTTTGTCATCGTGCACTCCTGATTCTAGCAACTTATAACAAAAAGGTAACTGAGTGCATACTCTGAGGATGGGGTTTCAGGATTGGATTTTTTGCCAGACTATAGCATGAAAACTGTAATGTACTTAGCTAATACATCGTGAAAATTTAGGCTGTCAAATTATGGTAGCTTTACAGAATACAACACACAGGAAATATCTTTGTACTGTCCAATTGAAGAATTCTAATAACTAAATCTTTTTTGGTTCTTTAGATTGGCCCTCTGCGATGTTGGCCTGGTGGGCTGTGTCTCTCAAGATCCATTGGAGATCTGGATGTTGGTGAATACATTGTTCCAGTTCCTTATGTAAAGCAAGTCAAGGTTCGAAACTCATCACTAAATCTAATCTAAAAATTATCTTTGTGTAGTTATAGCATTAGCTGACATTCTAATTATTGAGTTTATCCTGAAAAACTTATTTTTTATTTTTGGTTATGTAGCTGTCTTCAGCTGGTGGTCGACTTATCATCTCAAGTGATGGTGTGTGGGATGCGATATCTGCAGAAGAAGCTCTTGATTGTTGCCGGGGTTTGTCACCTGAATCTTCCGCAGAGCATATTGTTAAAGTATAGTATCTGAGTTGATTCATTTCTGATATATTATGTACTTAACTTTATAGTACCTTGATGTTTTCATTACTTCGCACAGGAAGCTGTAGGGAAAAAAGGTCTTCGCGATGATACAACCTGTATTGTTGTTGATATATTGCCGCTAGAAAAGCCGGCTGCTTCCGTACCACCTCCAAAAAAGCAAGGAAAAGGAATGCTAAAGTCCATGTTCAAAAGAAAATCATCCGACTCCTCTTCTAATATCGAGAAAGAGTATGCCGAACCTGATGTAGTTGAAGAATTGTTCGAAGAGGGCTCTGCTATGCTTTCAGAGAGGTGTGATTCTTTGAATATAGTAATGAAACAGAGATAGCTTCATTTAGAGCTACTAATCTTCATTAACCCTTGTTTTTTTTTTCTGTATATTGCAGATTAGATACAAAGTACCCGCTTTGCAATATGTTTAAGCTGTTCATGTGTGCTGTGTGTCAAGTAGAAGTGAAACCTGGAGAAGGTGTCTCAATCCATGCAGGATCAGATAATTGCCGTAAGCTTCGTCCGTGGGATGGTCCATTCCTTTGCGCAAGTTGCCAAGATAAGAAAGACGCAATGGAAGGAAAAAGATCATCGGGAGGTACTTCTTGATTTCTCCCCGATATTTTGCAATCGATTTTGAACATGTCGGTAGATATTGTTATGAAAGCTAACTCTAACCTTATTTGGGATATTCAGATAGACATAGTAGTGAGAGCGAC